GAAGGGAAATCATTTAAATGTCAAATCATTCTGGCTGAAACATGTACATAAATGTGTATACATTTACTCTTTATCAGATATTGTCCAGCAATTTAGAAAATGTCTATTTAAAAAAAAAATCCTTTCTTAAAATCTGTGTTTTCCTGTTATCTTCTGCAGGCCAGTTAGTTCTACGTCAGCCTGAACACCTAAATTCGGCCAATCATATATCAACGGTCATCTGTCAATCAAATGTTTTCGCTCATAGCATCTTGATTCATGTGTCGAAGCTAATATACGCAACGGTGAAATCAGAATCCTTTCCTTTCCCATTGAGTTGCGTCCCAGTGTTCACGGGGATGGACGTCTGTGTCTTCGGCAGGCGTAGAGCTAACAGAACTGGCAGCGTTGCGAGGCAAGGGCTCAAACATGTACGGCTGGAAGCCTTCTACACCAAACCAAGCTTCTGCCGCCCTGGCGTCCTCTTCCACAACATCTTCGTCCCCGCTTTCCTCCTCTAAATAAAAAATGGATGACGGAGGAGACTCATCCACGACCTCCGACACTAAACTCTCCTCCTCTTGCATGTTTCCGCTGTCCATAGCGTTCCTTGACAGCGTCGTTTCTAAGTCACCAATTTAGTGCTACTTGGTCCCAATGGAATTTCCCATTGGGAACCTGCTAGCACTAAGATGCTAACTGGTTAGCAAGATGCTTCCGACAAACCGGCCACAACCAAACTAGCTTGTGAACCTTCCACCTCAACAATCCCGCCCCCTTGATAATCGACCAATCACATTCACTTTATTCACTCGTGTAAAGTCGGGCACCACTGGGAGAATTCGGAAAAGCAACGGTTGGAACAGCCGCTTGCAATTCACACCCCCTAGTGTTGCCACTGGTTTCATGTCCAGCCGGTGTACCTAACGGGCGTTCATGAAACCTGGTCACAGTTGGACCCGTTGTCCTTTTAGATCTGGTTTTATTTTTATAGATGCGAGATGATTACAGCCTCTGTCCTGGATAGAAGTCGCTCTCTGGGTTCTCAGTTGGTGGGGCTTTGTGTTGAGGCGCCTCGTTTAGGGCAGGGAAGCGTCCAGCCATCACTGCTGCATCCTGGGGCCTTACAGCCAGAGGTGATGCTGACAGAGTGGATCGCAGGTTTTGGGTCCCTGGTGTTTCCCTTCCTGCTGTCTATTGTTGTCGCGGCGGTGTGGGTGTGTGAGGTATGTGGATCCCGGTGTTTAAAACAGCAGCGGCCTGATAAGCAGCTCTGTGAAACAGCAGAGGAGTTAATCAGAAACATTTAACCTTGGTCTCCCACTCTGGGCGGACGCACTGAATGGACCCAGTCTGTCCCCTCAATGGGCGCCAAGACAGGCCGTCTTTGTCTCCAAGCCCACGCCCCCAAGGCTCATTCATCAAAATAGGATCAGAAGATAAATACCAAGTTTTAGATCCTCTCTCTGGTTCTATCAGCACATCCAGAACCGTGATCTGGATCTGAACCACAGCATGAAGGCCGCATGGGATCCACTTTCCTCCAGTCGGTACGGTTACTGTCATGTGATCTCTGTGGGTTGAGAACACGCTTCCATAAACGGAACTAAAGTATTCACACCCTGGATCTTTTCCTCATTTCTTCCTGTTCCACCGACCTTAGAGGATTTTAGTGGATCTTTTGACAGAACATGGAAGGAAATGGAAATATGTTTGTTAATAGTTATAAAAAAACATCATAAACATTTGGTGGGCGTTAGTATTCAACCCCCCGGCTCTGCAGTTTGTAGAACCTTTTTCCTCTGCTTGTCCAGCTGCAGGTCTTCCAGGGTTTCTTAGCTTTGATCATCTAGCCTCAGGAGAACGCCTCAGTGTTTATTTCAGTCTTTCCACCAAATGTTGAAGGTTGTGTTTTTAGGTCTGGACTTTGATTAGGCCGTTCTAAATTAATCTGCTTCAGTCTAAATCAGGGGTTTCAAACCGGTTCCAGAAAGGGCTGCAGCTTTTCTTTCCAACCAAGCAGTAGCACACCAGACTTCATTCATCTCATCAACTGAGTGTCCATCTGAACATGATGAATTGGTGAGATGAACGGAGTCCTATGTGTGATTGCTTGGTTGGAAAGAAAACCTGCAGCCCTTTCTGGAACCGGTTTAAGACCCCTGGTCTAAATGCTCCATCTCGTCTCTGGCTGGATGTTCAGAAAAACAATCTCTCATCTTACTGTACGTAGTGAGGACCATTCAGCCCTGACCTATAGTGCATACCTCCCCCTAACCTTAAAGCTGTGGTTTCCAAACTTGTCCCTCTGGACCCATTTTAATAACAGTAAGAATCCAACTACTAACAAAGACACCAGAGACTGAATGGTCCACCTTCACCAGCCTGGAAAGGACTATGAGGAAATGGCCAAGCAGCTTGGTGAAAAAACTCCACTGTTTGAGAAATCATTAGAAAATGGAAGAAACTAAACATGACTGTCAGTCTCCCTCAGCCTGGGGCTCCATGCAAGATCTCACCTGGTGGGGTCTCAAGAAAGGTGACACATCAGCCCAGATCTACATGGGAGGAGCTGGGATCACTGTTTCCATGGTTACTGTTGGTAATTCACCAATCATGCAAGGAAGGTTCTCCTGTTTAAACCAGCACATGTTAAGGCCCGTCTTCAGTTTGCCAGTGACCATCTGGATGATCCAGAGGAGTCATGGGGGAAAGTCAGGTGGTCAGAGGAGACTAAAATTAACTTTTTGGTCTGATAAGTTTTAGTTCACGGATGCTTATGGCTGAAAATAGGCCGGTTGAGGTGCGGTTGGTTAAAGGTTTAGGTTGGTTGTGAGTCTCTGATTACAGAGGAGCAATTTCTCTCACAGCTTTAGACAGGACACGTTTATTGATATATAATATTTTTGTTTCAGGACAATTCAAAGTTGCATAAAGGCAATTAAATAATTAATTACTATTAGAAGAGAATAAAAATCTATAAAAAAAAATTAATGATTGATTAAAAAATAGAAAGCTGGACAGAAAACCTCATTTATAATGTTTAGATATCTCAGTCAAAGGTTTTAAAACAAATAGTTTAGTTTTGATTTAAAGACTCATTTAAAGACCAGTTCATTCCAGATTAGTGGAGCAGAAGACCTAAACACTGATTCTCCATGTTTGGTTCTGATCCAGTAGACCTGAGAGGTCTGGCTGTTGATCCACGAGCCAAAGGAAGAACTGGGCTGATTGTTGTCCGGCTTAAGGTTCTCTAGCTTAACCAGATCCTTCTCTAAAGGGCAGCAGGTTCACTAAAGACGCTATTCCTGCTGAGATGTTGCTGAATGTGATTATAGGTTCTGTATGGATCTTCAGACTGCAGCCTTTATCAGGTGGTTTACTGCTGGTGATGTTGCTCTTCCAGATGAACTGGTGATTAAAGAAGGAATAAATTATAAAAGCATAAAAGCAGGAATTAAAGGACACCTTGCATAGTTTAGGTTCGGATAGTTTTTTTTTTACAAGAAGAACCAGCATTTCAGAAGCCGAAAACCAAATAGACTGTCTCTGCTCTTTACTCTGAGTTAAATATTAGCAGCATCCTGAAGCCTATTAGCGTGTTTCCTCTGATCCATTAACACCTGAAGGCCAGAGCATCAGAACACCTGTCATGGGGGACTTTCACCTGAGCAGGAGGGAAAACAATGGACCTAATTATTTCTTGAAGAAGAGGCAGCCATCTTGTGAGAGTGTGATTCGAGAACGAATCTTTTAAGGCCAGCAGACCTGCAGAGCAAAGGCTGCTGAGGTCAGAGCATGAATGCGCAAACAAACTTCATCGCTCTGATAAGTTTGGTTTGTGATGAATAGTTTCCTTCATGGTGCTGCTGATATTTCAAGCTCCTCCGTTTATTAACAGCTGAAAACGCCTGATGGAGTTAAAGCTGCAGGAACCTGTGAAGTTTGTGGATTTCCGCCTGTTTGTTTGGCAGGAATCATGGAGAGAGTTAAACATTAAGGATCTGAAGGCGAACAGACAGACAGTCGGTCTGTTTTAGAGTAAACAGAGATAAGGAGGAGCTGAGAGATCAAACATGAGTCACTGCTTCGTCTCTTCATCAACAGCAGCTTCAGCTGTGACTCAGTGGGACACGGAGATGACCGGTGGGACCCGTTTGATGTTCAGAGTTATCTCTGCTGCTTTCAGACTCCTCTCAATGACAGCAAACATCATGCTAAAGAGCTAAAACAGACCAAAGACCAACTCGTCTGACCTGTTTTGAGACTGACTCGTTGAGCTCTTCTATCGCTGACTCGTCCAGTAACTGACTCCTCAGGTGTGAAGAGTCAGTCACTGACTATCCCCTGTGTAATTATTGACTTATTAAGCTCTCTGATTGTTGGAAAGTCTTGTAAGCGAGGACATGTTTGGTAATTGACTCGTTAACTTGTTAATCTGTTCACTAGCTAGCTCATCCTGCTGTTTGATTGCTGACTCATGCTAACTGACCGAGTTTGAAACTGTTTAACTGCCGACTTGTTCATTTGCTCACCTCTTTTAACATTTTTAACAGCTGACTTGTTCACCTGTCTGATTGCTGACTTGTTTGGTAATTCACTCGCCTAGCTTTGTGATTAATACCTCGTTCAGTTTTCACTTGTTTCCTGAGCGACTCGTTCACCTGTAGCTAACTTGTCCAGCTGTTTTTAGGCTTTTAACACGTTTAATCAGTGACTCGCCCAGCTGATCACCAGTTTTAATGCAGACTTGGTCTATAGCTGACTTGTTCGGCTGTTAACCTGTTTAATGACAGATTAAACTAGCTGTTTGAGTAGTTGTTGGATAATTGACTCATCCAGCTTATTAACTTAAGATGATTGAGTCGTTTCATCTTTCTTTTGTTGCCCGAGTGACTCGTTCACTTCTTCGAGCACTGGCTCATTCAGTAACTGACTCGTCACCTGTTCAATAACTGTTTTCTCACCTATTTGATCGCAGACTCGTGCTGTAACTGACTTGTCTCTCCATCTCTTTTTAGTTCTAGCTAAGCTGATCTGGGACCTGCAGTCCTTCCTGACGGTTCTGGACTCAGAGAACCTGAGCTACATCGCTCAGGCTCAGAAGAAATCGATCTCAGAGCTTCTTTCCAAACTTCAGACTCCAGACGCTCCAGGTAGGACTCTGCTGCTTGTTTCCCCAGTCTGCTCAGAGATCCGGGCAGACTCGGTTGATGATGGTGAACATGTCTGTGCCGTTTCCAGTGGAGGACGCGGAGTACATGGTGATGAGCTGTCCATCGTCGTCTCCAAGCAACGAGCATGTGGACGCCCCAGGGACAGGTACCTGCTGCGTCTGCTTACAGGAAATAAACCCAGAACCAGTGGTCTCCATGTTCTCTGTGTTCTGCTGCCTCCTCTAATCTGGTTTTGCTGCTTTTGCAGAAGGAGTTTGGTCTTCAGAGCTGGTCTCACAGCAGGACCCGTCCGCCTGGCTCAGGAACAGGGTGAGCAAACCCATCAAACTGGCCTCATGTCAGGATTTATCCAGAAAAAACACAGATTTATTGGAAAGGAACGTTTAAAAAAAAACAGCCTGAAAATCTGTGAAGGTTCCTGTCTCCTTAGAGATCAGAATAACCTCAACAAAAGCTCCTGTTCCCCATTATCTCTGGTAACCATGGAAACACGGCAGCATCATTAGTCAATGCGGGTGAAAAAAGGCCATCCTCCCATCAGCCTGCCAACCCTCTTCACTTTCTGACCTCAAAGAGGAGCTCAAAGGAAGGAGAGACGGAGAGAAGAAAGTTTGTTTTTTAGATCCGGATCCAGCAGCGGCGCAGGAGACCACGGAGCTCCTGTGATGTGGGTCAGTAATGACAGACCGGGCCCTCCTGAGGTTTGGGAGGAGATGACAGGGTTAGCAAGTGTGTGTGTTTGGGAGTTACAGGAAGTGGACTGTTTACATGTGAGGCGATCTCCTCCTGCTCCTATTGGCTGACAGATCTGCAGAGGGAGGAAGTGGTCACTGATGGCGGCAGATTAGCATCTGGTCTACGTGATGGACACACACTCAACGACACACACGCACGATACCATCTAGAACACAGCAGTGTTCACAGAGCCTTAGAAAAGTATTCACACCCGTTCATTTCAAAGTAGTTTATTGGGATTTTAGAACAAAGTACGGCACAGATTTATATACTGTTCCATAAAAGTTAGAAAAATCAATCCTCTGGACTTTGTTTCCTCGTTTGAAGACGTTTCTCTTCCATCCAGGAAGCTTTTTCACTTCAAAATGTCAGAAATAGCGTTTAGTTCCAGGTTTTATCCAGCAGCCCAACAAAGCCTGGTTTTAGTTTAGAAAACATGCAAATAGAAACGGATGAACGGGTCCCCCCCTTTGGATTGGGGGTCGATTGGCTTCATTGTTAGCCTGCAATGCCCCATACCTGTCTATGTCTCTGAAATGGGGGTCGTTAGAGGGAATAGTTGGCCTGGCTGAACAGGTGAGGTCTTCTGTTCTCCTGTAACGGAGTTAGGGCTGTGATGATAGCGGGAAGGAATCAGCTCAGTTGCTGCATTGTTGGTTGTCCATTTCCTCTGTTTTAACATTATTTATATACTGTTGTGCATTTTTAAGCATGTCTTTTATTTAATCAGATAACTTCAGACTCGTGTTGCTCTGTGAACATTGACAAAAAGGCTGTGTTAGGATAATACATCAAAATGTTAATCAAACACCAATAATTAACATACCTCTGCAAACATCTGGAATAAATTAACATCTATTCAAAATGTAATAATTTATGAACAATTATTCAACTCCAATTTAAGCGAAAGTAAATTAGTGAAGCTCACTTAACTAATTTATAATAGCTAATAAGTACAGAAAGAAGGAAAGACAAGGAAAAAGGTGGGATTTTATGTTTGGGGACCAAAGATGATCTTGAAGGTTTTGGAATAAGGTCAATTTATTTTTTTAAACAAATTTAGAGCAATTGTTCGGATCGGTTTATAATGTAAATTTATGGAGGTAAATAAAACAGTATTTAGTAAAATGTATTTATTTTGCCAAAACAGAAATCTTTAACTGCTTAAGGTGCAGTAGGAGATCTTCCAGCAAGTTTTATTTTTGAACATACACAACCATGCCTCACATGCAGACCACCTGGTTTCTGAGCATAAACCAGGCTTCAACCTGTCCAAGTTGTGTTAAGCTCTGTTACTGGAGGCCTTGTGACTTCTGGTTCCAGGTCTTCCTGCTACTGTCATAATCCTGGCGCTGATGGCGTTGGGTGCGCACCTTTTTTTGGTTGAATTTTTGGCACTAGTAGCTCGTATTTTTCGACAGTAGGTTGACAGGAAAGGGAGTATGGGAGAGACATTCGGCAAGGACCATGGGTCGGATTCGAACCCGGGTGGGCCACGTCAAGGACCAAGGCCTCATCACATGGGTCATGGGTGCTAACCGCTGCGCCACCTGCACGCCCTGCCCCTGCACACCTGTCTAATTGGGCCTGCGGCTGATTACTGCCGATCTGTTTTACCTGTTCCCCGCAGCTATTTATGGTGTTTGCTTTCCCGTCATCAGCGCCAGATTATTCTAGCTTTTTCGGTGAGAGTAATTCTAGCCATCAAGTAAGGGATTTGTCTTTTTGATTCTGTCCTGTTTCTGCTTCTGGATGTTTGGTTTTTGCCTCTTTCCTGTCTGCTCTGTTCAGTTTGATTTTTGGTCTGACTTCCTGGATTCTGCTGGTTACCGGACTTGGACTGTGTTACTGACCTCAGCTTGGACTCTACTTGGACAGCTCCGTAGCTCTCTGCTGTCCTGGTTTGTGGAACTGGTTTGGACTGTTCTTAGGCTTTGGACTATGCCTCACGGATACTTTTGCTTGCTTGGCATCGGCTAACTTTAACCTTCAGAAGCGATAACGACTGCAATTGGCGGACATTCTCTCCCCGGGTTCCTCCTTTCTCTCTCAATCGGACTGAACTCTCAACCAGGTGAGTGACTTTCCTCCTAGTTGTAATCAGCAGGACATTGTTGTCACTGACCTGAGTTTCCCGTATCGTCAGAAAATCCGATAACTCGCCCCGAGGATGTTTCACCGCTTTCTTGTCCTGGTTGTCTGCTGAATATCGGGTCCAAGGTTCTGCCGTCGTTACAGCTACACTCAGAGAGAAAGGTGTAGATAGCATGTTCTGCACTGTCCGGTTCTGTGAAGCAGGTGAACTTAAGCTTTGATCCGAGTTTAAAGAACGTGATGCTTTGTTAGCGCAGAGGGAGGGGTGAGAGGAACCAGGCTTCTATTGCAGGCTCCACATCTCAGGATTTTCCCAGTTCTATCAGTCCTGCATCCTTGTTCTAAATGTGTTCAGTATTTCACCATTGGCGTATCTAATTTATTGCAGATGCAGGGCCCCACCGTTCCTCCTCACCCCCCCGGTGGGCTTGGGGGTGATGATGATGAGGATACCTACGAGGAGGCAGAACCTTACGTACCGGCAGAAAGCACTGTGTCCAACACAGGTACCTGCAGCCACTGACATGAATACGTAGACGACTCATTGGAAGCTGGGTCAACATGCCTATAGGGCGGCCATCTTGGATCAGAGCACAGTTCAAGCAGCTGTTGTCAGAATGAGTAGGAGACGCCTCAGATCTAATTCTAATCACAAGAAGACGAGTCATAAATAATATCACAATAAGCAGTTATACATATATATTGTAGTGGGAGGTATTCAACTCCAGTTAAATAAACAGAGATAGATGGATTTCCCTCCATTTTTTACTTTATTTTTTTCTTTGCAAAGAGATACGTTCATCATACGGCCGTCATTGCTCGGTAATCAGCCCTGTTCTCCCTGAGCAGCATTCATTCCTCCTTACTGACAACAATGGAAAGTAGTCAGAGTCAAAACAAATTACAGACACTTTGGTTAAACAGTAACATGTTATAAATAAACCTTGAGAAAGAAGCTGGCTTCTTATGGAAAGAAGTATGCCTTGTCTACAAACACACCCCTCACTCAGGCATTGTATATATATATATATATATATATATATATATATATATATATATATATATATATATATATATATATATATATATACACAGACACACACACAGGATATAGAAAACTATTCTGTCGGATCGAAGTAGATTTATGGTCGAAGTGATTGTAATGCCTAGCTTATATATATATATATATAATAATGGTGGATCGTTAACGAGCTGTTGATGCCAGACTGGGAGGTTGGGAGCTGGGTCTATATTAATGGTGACTTTCACCTTGATATTTTAGAACAGATGTATATCTGGGGGCGAAAACGTTATACTGTCAAATTACCACATTAAACTTTCTGTAAAAATAAAAAAAAATATCCACTGTACTTGGTTTCAAAGATTTAAAGACGATGAATGGGTCGCTTGGTTCCATCGTTAGCCATCAGGCTAACGATGGAACCAAACGACCCATTCATCGGTTACCATTGCATGTTTCCAAGCAATATAAGGCCTTGTCCATATATGACTCAAACTCACTGCTGATCCAGACATTTGAATTGAGAAAGCTTCCTGGAGAGGAGGAGAAACGTCTTCAAATCTTGGACACCAAGTCCAGTGGATATTTTTTTGAATTTTTACGGAATGACTATGACCTGGATGACTGAGAACCTTCATCAGCATACCACATTAAACGTGACATGCTGACGTGGATGCAGCAATAAGCACAGCTCTATCAGCCAAGGTCACCAATCTCCTCAGTCAGTGAATAGCTACAAGTTGATGGGCTAGCGCTGATTCTCCAGGCAGCGCAGGTGATCCATCTTACAAACCATCTGTGAGGCAAACTTTCATGAGAATACATGACCAGCTCACTGCGGAGAAAACCGCGAAAGATGAGAAGTTGGTCGAAGCGAAGTGTGTTTGGTGAAACTATATTGTCAAAGTGGGACGTCTATAATTGGAAGTGGGACTCTCTATTTTTTGCAGCAAAACACAGTAACAAATCAGCAAAAATGTATTATTTTGTCAAAATCTTAAGTAAATTAGGTGTGATTTTGTAAACATAAAAGTAAACCATCCATATTCTGTCACGCTTAATCCAAGACACAGAGACAAACAGGACAAACAACCAATCACACTCACAGCTAAGGAGGATTTAGAGAAGCCTCATATATATATAATAATATGAGCAGAATAGAGGTTGGGCATCCTGAGGGGAAGCTCTGGAAGTTTGCTACAAAATCAAAATTATGTATTAAAAAAAAATCGGATCAAACAGTTTGTTCCCTTTAGAGCCTGAAGCATTGATGTTTGCAGTCAGCTGGTTTATCTGGAAATTGGTTAAAAGTTCCCCGGATTCAGAGTGTCTAAAATCATAAAGTAGGGTTAGCCCCAATTGGAGTGTACTCTCTCTGATCTCAGATTGGTCTGACCTAAGATGGCCGCTCTGTTGGCACACCTCTTACCCGATGACGTGGCGTCTATCTATGTCTGACAGCAGCAACCCCAACAGGTACATTACAGGAAGTTTGTGTAAAAAAACAGTAAAATAGCAAATGTTTCTATCCTTCAGAGAGGGCGGAGTCAGAGAGCAGCCACTATGAGTCATATGGTGAGGAAGATGATGATGATGAAGGAGATAGTCTGGTGAAGGACAGAGCACACTACATCCAGTGGAGCACCTCACAGATCTGTCTGCGGCCCGCTCCAGAGTCCCGCCTCTGTGGATACCTGTGGAGGAGGAGGTGGCTCGGACAGTGGAGCAAACAGCTCTTCATCATCAAGAATGACATGCTGCTGGTGAGGAAGAGGTGGGGGGGGTGGGGGGGGGAGTGTTGGATTGACTGACGGACGGATGGAAAAGTTTTCTCTGTTTATGTCCACCAGTGTTATAAATTTGCTCGGGACCTGCTGCCCCAGCTGGAGTTGAACCTTCATGGCTGTCAGTCCTTTTATAAGTCCAAGAGCCACGCCAAGATCCAGCACCAGCTCAAACTGGTCCCAGTGGGCGCAGAGTCTCTGGTTCTGGGCTACAGCAGCTTCCAGCAGGCTGACGAGTGGAGAAGGGTCAGCAGCACACACAAACAGCACCGTTAAACTTCATGGATTTAGTGGTTTTCTGATGTACCTCAAATTAACCGTCTGTGTTCGTGTTTAAAGGTGATAGAAGAGGTGAGCACCGAAGGTGAGGTGGAGACGCAGAGCTTCTCCTCTCTCAGTAAATCGGATCACCGGCTGTCTTGCAGGGTAAGAAACAAATAACATTCCTGACGTCTTTGTTTGTGAGAAAACAGCAAAGTTCTCTCAGAGAAGAACATCAAAAAATACAAGATCGCACTATAAGTGGCGGCAGGTGGAGTTTTCTCAGGGGGGCTGTACCTTTAAAATAGACATATACCAAAAACTAATCAAATGTACACTAAGGTATCACACCAGGATATTTATATGAATGCCAACAAAAAAAACAAATAATCTAAAATGTTCTGCAAAGTGCTTTAAATCAGTCCTAGCTGTCTTTATCCACGCTGATCCTGACGTTTAAAAAAGGAGGCAGGGAAAGCAGAATAAAGCCTTAGCCTTGCTGCATGTAGTTAGCCTAGCCTTGGAGCTAAATGAATTTATAAACCTGTCAATCAGCCTCACTTTCTAACAGACGACTGGGACCTGAGTGAAGTTGCCCCCCCCCACCTTCTTCAAATCAGACAAAATTGTTGTCAAACGTTTGTGCAGCAAAAATTTTCCTTCGTGCCGTTATCGTTTTAAAGATATAAAGAAATATTTCTAGAGGTCATCAAAGGTCAACCAGCCCCCCCACCTTCTTCAAATCAGACGAAATGGGTGTCAATTAACTCAGCTGCGTTTGTGCAGCAAAAATTGACGTTTGTGCTAATTTGGCTTTGAAGATATTAATGAAAATGTAAAGGTCAAAAGGTCAACCAGCCCCCCCACCTTCTTCAAATCAGACAAAATTCGTGTCAAAATTTTTTGTTTGTGCCGCAGTTTAAAATTATATAATCATAAATTAGCAACTTATAATTTATATGAAATTCAGAGTTTCAGGATGAACAAATGTTCACTGACCTTTTATGGCTTCTACAAACAATTATTAACATCATTAAAATGATAATGATAATATATATCTTTATAGATCTTTTAAATATTTTTTTATTTAAAATTAATTATATATTATATTTATATTATATTAAAAATATATATTATATTTTTGAATGGCAAAATTTTTCATTTGTACTGCTGTCATTTTAATGATATTATGAATATTTTGTAGAGGTTATCAAAGGTCAGTTAACATCTGTTTTTGCTGCACAAACGTTTGACACCAATTTTGTCTAATTTGAAGAAAGGGGGGGGGGTTGGATGACCTTTGATGACTTCTAGAAACATCTCTTTATATCTTTAAAATGATGGCGGCACAAACGAAAATTTGTGCTGCACAAACGTTTGACACTAATTTCGTCTGATTTCAAGAAGGTGGGCGGGCCAACCTCACTCAGGTACGACACCTAGGTCAGCGCTGTGGAGGGAGGTGGTGAGCAAATAAAGAAGAGGAGCTACGGTGCATGGGCAACTTTTAACCGAAGTCTACGGGTGAAGATTTATGGAAATACGTCACCAATTCAACAATGACCGGCCGGGTTTTTATGTGTTTACACCTAACAATTCAGAACGCATGAAAATTACAAAGGTAAAATATTTACCAATATAGACATGTTAGACACAATTTAATCACCAAGTTCATTTTACGGACACCAAAGCACAATTAGCACAGATATATAGAAGCATGTCAAAATGTAAATATGGCAAAGCAGCCACAGCAACCAACCTTTGAAGGCGTCCAGAAGCCGTTTTATAAATCCAGTCTTCAATTGTTTATACTCCATTCATCCATAAGGGTCCACAGATTAAAACTAATCCAGTATATTTGTAATAAAAATATTCCAAGTTAGCTGGTCATAGTTAATGCTTGGTATCTTGCTTGGTATCCTCAAACGTTTGCCTGTGATGTTTGGTATTTTTTTTTACATCGTCTTCCTTCCTACAGGACAAAAGTCTCTGCATCTTTGTAAGACTCGATTTTATTCAGACGTTTTATATTTTTATCCTAAACATTTTACATTTCAAAAATTTTAGTTTTATTTTAGTTCATAAAGTCCAATGAATGAATTCTGTAGATAAAGGGCCCACTATGTATATCAGTGTTATTCTATGGGTCAAATGGCTCAATTTGGCACATTTGGAGAGATTTGGAGATGCTGGTGACACCAAAAGTTCAAAGCCCCACAGCTCTGGAAATGTTGCAGCTAGAGGTCTGAAATTTTCTGCTATTGATGTTAACGTGATGTAGAACAAATGTAATGAAATTAAACATGCCTTTTCTCAAGCATGTCTTTGTCACTGCTGTTCAAACCTAGTATTCTTGCGAATAAAAAAGCAACTTTGAGTCATTTTTAAACTGATGCAGGTTAGACTGTGTTTTACTCGCCCAATTTTTTTTTGTTAAAGTTTTTAAAGTTCAATAATTTTATATTTTCAGAAACTAGAAGGTTTTGGCTTTAAAATGATGTATCACACGTGTAATTTGGGCTTACAGTTCCTCTGTTATTTGCTTACATTTGGGTATGCAAAATAGGCAAGGATTGCTTCAAATGTATTATAATATATTATATATCATAAATATATAATATATTTTAAATGTTTTTATTTCATAATTTAATTTCCATTTGTATTTTATGTCTTAATCCAGGTCATTGGGTGGGGTGGCGCCCTAGCGCCCTCTATTGACCGGCTGCCAATGATTCCTACACTGTTCTAACAGACGAATTAATAATCTAACTAAAAGTAATAATGTGTTTTTTGTTCTGTCTTCAGTCCAGCGAAGTCCAGACTGACTCTGATGAGGAGAAACCTTCAGCTTTCCATGACACCAACAAAGATAAAGGTACTGAACCATAACAGCTCTGAGGGACTAAAGAGGGAACAAAGCTATAGGGATGGAGAATTTTAAGTTATGGCAGATAAGACATTCATTGTTAACGTGCACTAAGGTCACCATCAAATGTGTCACCAATTTAATAGTGCACAGTATTATGCTGTTACTTTATATTTAATGCTCACACCAGTGGGGGTAGTAAATATGTTCATCAAATAACTTGTGGACTGATGTATTTTTTTGGCTGTGTGTAAGAGCAGCAAATGAAAATAGGAATCAGGCTCAAATCATAGTCAAACAGATAAATCTGCACAAACCAAGAGTATCGCCCTCAATGCTGTACGGCTGAATTCACGTCTAAGCCAGGAGGGATCCAGACTGTAAAAACCATGGAGACACAGACCTGTGTGTGGCTGATAATTACCGGTCCTACCGATGGCTTGACTAAGTGACAAAGACCTTAATCAGGGCAACACAGAGGCTGTCTGTCAGCAGAACAGCAAAAGACGATAGGTTATATCAAAAAAGTACAACGGGTTTAAGCTCTGCAAGTAACTCCTCAAACAATATAGGATAGCTGGGTGTATGAAGCAAGCAGAAAAAAGCAAACCCAAATAGCAGGAGTCTGTAGGAAGAACTGAGGATGGGCTGATGGTCCATGGTGAAGTGTCAGCCACTTTGACCAAGAGTGTTTGAGAATTATACTGTTGGGATTCAGACCTGCAGTCTGGGAGCTTGATCACTGATTGGTTGTTGGGCATTGGGATCCATGTTCATAACAAGACAAATAAGATAGACCACAGAAAGTAGTGAGTCACCAGACCTGCAAATAGGAATCCTGGGTTCGTATCCCGTCTGGGGGGAATGAGCTACCAGTGAGGGTCCTTAGGAAAGACCCTTCACACTAATGCCTGCTTTGGGGAGTGGCGGCCTAGTGGTTAGGGCATTGTGTTTGGAATCCAGAGGTTCTGAGTTCAAACCCCACTCCTACAGAGAGAAGAACACACTCTGAGATCTAGATCCAAATTTAAGAAAACTGGATTCGGATATGTATAAATACAACAAGTACTTGAGCAAATCCCTTTCTCTGACTTCTGTAACTTAGATTCAAATGTGTGTCAGTGATGTGTGGTGTTTTGACTCACAGGGTTCCTGAATGTTCTGATGAACTGTCAGTGGCAGAACTTACTGTGTCAGGTTGAGGGTGGAGTCCTCAACATGTTCGGAGAGGACATCGAGAAACAGGAGGAAGGGGAGAGGCGGTCGCCTCAGTACACGGTCCAACTCAGAGGCTGTGAGGTCGGAGCCGGGGCAGACAAAGGCCACGCCAACAGGATCTCACTGAGCATGCTCGGTGACCAGGTAGCTGTGCTGGAGGTGAGTTCAAGGTCAGTAGTTCAGTTTCCTCTTTTTTATCAGCTCCTCATTAAAATCTTTCTGTCCGATCTTTGTTACTTCAGGTGAGCTCATCAGAGGAAAAACAAAAATGGCTGAAGCTGTTGCAGGACGGGGCTGCTGGTCATGGTTGTCAAGACAAAAACACTCAGGAGCAAACAGGAACTGCCCTGAGGTAGGAGAAACTGCTTCAACCGAGATATCCTGCTCTCTGATTCCATCTGCTGGCAACTGATGGTATTACAAATGGAGCAAACGTTAATTAACTAGAGAAGTCTCCAGGCCTGGTCCTCAGTACCAACTGTTCTGCTGCCGCATATCTGGAGTCAGTGATGACTGCTCGACAGCTTGGAAGTCCACTGTCCTGAGACATGCAGGGCAATGAACGCTGAGGACCTGGGACCTGCAGGATATGTTCTAGATTTACTTCTTTGCATTGTGCTGAGATGAACTTATGAATAACGTCACCAGATTTCTGCAATCTAATCTGGGGACATTTCCAGATCATAGATAGAAATAAATACATTTTATGAAAATTAAAATAGGAAACAGGGACAGTGATGTTTTCATCCATTTTTACATATTTATTAATATTTAAACAAAAATCAAGTGTGAAATCCTGGAATGCGCCTCTTCAATTTCCAAAGATAAATAATCAATCAATAGTGGTTATTAGAGCCATCTGGTCTCTCTTTCTTCTTCCCTTGTGAGCAACAGAACATTGTGTTCAGGAACAGGCCGGTTGGCTTTAATACAGAGTCTTTTTTCCATCACAAAAAAGTAAAATTAAACTTTTTTTACAAATTGAAAAACATATTTTTTTTCTGAACAATGTTAACTATAAATGAAATGTCCTCCAGTTGTTTCTACTGTATCCTGGACAGCTGCAGGGCATTGGGTCGCCTCCAGCAGCCTGGATTAAAATCTGTGTAATTTTTAAAAAAAGTTACGTTAGATTCTTATATTCAGATTAAAGTACAACCTTTAAAACACATCTATAAATGTGGATCATTCTTACAAGCAGCTTGAAGCAGCCGCACCAAAAATACATGTTTTGTCTTTAAACTTATAGATGAATGAAAAATAATCTCTCAGGGCTTAAAAATATTCTGTCCTTTAAAAAAGTTATAGTGAAACCAAACAGGAGTGTATTTTTTACAATCCTAAACTTATTTTCTATTCATGTGTACATAGATCCAGCTGTGCCTTTTTTGTTTTAGATAAGCTGTTATTACTGTGATAGGATGAAAAAGATTATATGATACTATTTATCCCTGTTACAAAAATCCACAACAAAAAGAAAATATTTGGGCAGAAACTGAAAGTCTGCTGGATGCTGGTGGGGATTTTTAAAAATTATGTCATATTAAATTAAGTGTTCATTTCCTATGAATTTAATAATAATATTCCGCATGCTCTCCTTGAGCTGTGAGGATAAATCAGAGCGGAGCAAGAGGGGAGGAACAGCGGAGGCTCTA